ATTGTCATACTGAACGGGTTTGGCACTGTTGTGAATGCACTTGGTACCCGTTGCAAACCATATCTACCTCAGATTGTCAGTACGATTCTCTGGCGCCTGAATAACAAGTCAGCAACTGTCCGTCAACAAGCAGCAGATCTGATATCTCGCATCGCCATGGTCATGAAGCAATGTGGTGAGGATGCTTTGATGGGTAAACTCGGTATAGTCCTTTACGAATATCTTGGTGAAGAGTATCCAGAGGTGCTAGGTTCCATTCTTGGAGCCTTGCGGTCTATTGTCACGGTTGTTGGTATCAATCAAATGCAGCCGCCTATTCGGGATCTCCTTCCGCGTCTCACTCCTATATTACGAAATCGTCACGAGAAAGTACAAGAGAACACGATTGATTTGGTGGGTCGTATTGCGGATCGAGGCCCCGAATCCGTCAATGCCAGAGAATGGATGCGAATCTGTTTTGAGTTGCTTGATATGCTCAAAGCTCATAAGAAGGGTATTCGTCGCGCGGCAAATAACACGTTCGGTTTCATTGCGAAAGCAATCGGTCCTCAGGACGTCCTCGCGACTCTTCTCAACAACCTTCGTGTCCAGGAACGTCAATCCCGGGTTTGTACAGCTGTTGCAATTGGCATCGTCGCGGAAACTTGTGCACCCTTCACCGTTCTCCCCGCGCTGATGAACGAGTATCGTGTACCCGAACTTAACGTCCAGAATGGTGTTCTCAAGGCTATGTCGTTTCTCTTCGAGTATATTGGCGAGATGGCGAAAGATTACGTTTACGCTGTTACTCCACTCCTTGAAGACGCATTAATTGACCGCGACCAGGTACACCGACAAACAGCTGCCAGTGTGGTGAAACACATTGCCCTTGGTGTTGTTGGCCTTGGATGCGAAGATGCAATGCTGCATCTCCTCAATTTGCTCTATCCGAATCTTTTCGAGACAAGTCCCCACGTTATTGATCGTATAATCGAAGCTATCGAGGCAATCCGCATGGCTGTCGGAACCGGCATTGTGATGAACTACGTTTGGGCTGGCTTGTTCCACCCTGCAAGAAAAGTTCGACAGCCTTATTGGAGGCTTTACAATGATGCATACGTTCAAGGGGCAGATGCGATGGTGCCATACTATCCTACCCTTGAGGATGAGGGTTTGGCGAGGCATGAGTTGGCGATTGTTCTGTGATTATCGAAATTGTTTGTTTTAACCTTTTTGGGGTGGGCTTTTTTTGATTATATCTAGCCTGTAATCTCTCACACTGAGTTCCTTTCATCTCTGGCTCGTTATTTCTACCATATGCGGTTCTTCTTGACTTTTTTTCTCTCACTTATTTGCGGCATGCGTTCAGCGGGTTGGATGTCCATTTCTTCACCTGTTCATTTCTGTTCTTGTAATAATATATCTGATTTAAACGCATCGCCGTATTTTTCAATCTCGAAATTGATGGAGAGATAATTCCGTAGTATTTTCGTGACGGCAACAACTTTACTCCTCTCCATGGCAAGCGGAGAATTCGAAGGTGTGCGTGTGTTATTACGGCTACGCCTCCTCGAGGTTGCTAGATAGGAGATATTCTATAATTCCACCCTAACTGTAGGCATAGCTGGCGTCATATATACCCTGGATGTACCCTTCAAGCCAGTCCAGGAAATCCGCCCTATACTTGAAAGTAAACGATAGATTCAGCTACAGGATGTTCAATTCTAAAACACAGGGGGCTCCAAGGATCCTCTGTTGGCTCCATGAGCCCAGCCATCGCCACCTTCATCGCCATTGTATGCGTGTTTTATAGTTTAAGGACGGGCAACAAGTCTATATATTGTAGGGGAGTAACTATGGCTTAAAAAGGATGAAAGCATCCAAACTTCAATAGTTCCAACGGGTGGAAGCCAAGAGTTGTTGAATATACCGCTGCCAGTAAGTAGGTTTTATCTCCAAAACGTCCTACAAAGTCAGGTTGTCAAAGACGCCGAGAGCTACCCGGCACACTATGCAGAGTTTTCTTAAATTGGAGGGATGCAGAACTGAATACAAGAATGATGGAGAGCAAAGACCTGTCAATATGTACAACAGAGATATAAACGGCTTTCCGTCTCTAAAGGCCAAGGAGAAACTCATCAAATGATCCTTTATATTTTGAATGCTCTCGCGTAAAAGGCAAAGAGAAAAAAAGAGTATTAACATCAAAAAGGAAATTTGTATCCACTAAGTAAAAATTAAGAAAATTATGTAAGCGAGTGAAAGAAATTATTAACGGCCAATTAAACGTGCAAATCTGAAGTAAACGATGCACTACCTGGCGGGGAATAGTCGAAGGTGTGACAATGATGTTTTGGTGAATGAGTGGTAGAGAATGCCATGACCTTCTACCGTCGCCTCTCAATAATTCACCGCATTGCCACTGATTTCCCGGGCACCTGTAGCCAAGGAGGTGATGATATACAGACTGTTGTTGTGGGAGAGCAGGGAGGGCATTCTGCGGAGGAAACCTGGTTGAAACTAGGTCCGAGCGTTGCCATACAAGCATTAATAGGTGCGAGGCGCAACAATATATAAGAAAAGAAGAAATATAACAGGATAGTCAGGATTAAAAACGAGGGTAAACCCAGAAAGGGCGAGCCAAACAAGATAATCGCCATGACGTAGGAAGGAAAAAAGATCAAGAGCGGCTTACAATTATAACTGCAACCATGATAAAAACGAGATGACATCGAATCCATACCGTGGTATCAACCAAAGAAAGGAACAAAGGGTAGTGAAAGTTCAAGATATAACGGAGCAAGACACAACCTGACATAAGAAAACGAACCGCGATGGAAGCGACCTGACCTGGTCTAACGAGGGTATACATTTGAAGAGAAGAAAAAAATTGAAATCGTCTGACCCCTCACGTAAAAACAAGCACCTCTATCAAGAAAAGACATAAAACAACAAATATCCTTAAGTACGACCCCCCCTAATCTGGTGCAATACCCTTCCTGTGTCATCTGTAAAAAAAAAAAAAAATAAAATAAAATAAAAATAAAAAAATAAAAAAAAAAGACCAAGACCAAAGACCAAAAAAATTGAAGGGAAAAAACACCTCACTGGGGGTATCTTTTTCATTCCAGCTGTGAAATTTTCGAATCAAAATATTCGAGGGGGACGAAGAGAAGAAAGAAAGTGAAAAACAAAACCTATAATACAGCATTAAATGATGTTTGTTAGACACGAATAGATTAATCGTGCCAGAAAGAGTCGTAGATGACAGAATTTGGTGTTGCGAGTGCCGTCTCGAGCACTAATATGAAACAAAAGAATTACAGGTGAAAAAGAATTATGTCGGTTTGCAGTGTTTATGATAGCTCTCGTCGGTCGAAGAAAATCTCAATGTAAATGAATTATGAGAAGAGGTAGACGTAAATTGCAAAATATTCGAAAGCAGGGCAAATCCAAACAGCCATTTTCGCAAGGAGGTTTTCATTCTTGCTGTTGTTCCGGCGAGTGGGACTCTTTTTCGCCCTTGTGGACTTTGTTATGTCGTCGAAGATTCGATACAACAGAGAAGTGACGTCCACACCCTGGGAATTCACAAGGGAAGGCTGTCAATCACATGGGCTTACATCAGAATGATTCCACACATATATTATTATGAGAGATTTGCATATATATCATATATATTTTTGATGAACTTACGTTTTTCGCCTGTGTGGCTGTACATGTGCGTTTGCAGAGAAGAAGGACGGGTGAATCGTTTATCGCAAATTTTGCACTTGTGCTTTTTTTGCGTGTTCGATGGGATTTTCGAACTGAATTGGCCCATCATCGACTGCGGCCCTGGTATGACACCGTGTATGAGTCCTGACGGTCGAGGAAGGGTTCGCGATGGCATGGCATCATGGGATTCTGAAGTTGTAGAGCTATAGTCGGTGACGGAAGAATCGACAGAGACAACAGACGCACTGTAATATGGATAATTCCCGGCTGAAGAAATTGATGAAGCTGATGAATGCGCGGACGTAAAACAGTAGGCCTCTCGAGATCCCCTGATATTTTGAGGTCCGTAGATATTTCGAGGAGTTGCCAGATCCTGACTCAGCGCGACCATGCCGCGACTGGCATCAAGGGCATCGCCATATGTAGAAGATGGTAGTGTTTGCGACGGTGAAGTTTGCGCAGGGGGCTCATTTCTAAATACCAAATTAACATTTCGTGTCTCGCCTTTACCGGCTAAACTTCATTGTTATAGGGAGACCTTCCGCAGGGAGAAAGTGTAAGCCTTAAAACTCACCCTAGAGAGATATTTCTTCCATTTGCGTGTTGCTGCTGCTGCTGCTGCTGCTGCTGCTGCTGATGATGATGATGATGATGATGCTGTTGCTGTTGCCGTTGGTGCAACGACTGTCCATAGTCCATGGGAGGGTAATTGGTCGGGGTGAATGAATTTATCGGGGATGCCGACGTGTATCCCTGAGGTTGTTCAAAGTTTGTCCGCGGAATCTCCGGTGGCATAACGATGAGCTGCTGCTCAGAACCGCTGTAGGCAGAAGGAGCAGGATTGTAGCTGCTGCTTGTGGTCATTGATGGGGCAGGCGCTGGCACACTTGCGTATGGCATGGAGATGGCTGAAGGTCGAGAGACCTCATCCCGCTTAACGATCGGATTCACCACGACAGAGCTTGCGGGAATAGATGTAGAGTAGATTGGTTGCGGAGGATGGGTAGATGAATGCGCGGCCCAGGCGTCATTGAATTGCGGAGGGCTTGCGTGAACATGGTTATGATACGCATTGCTGTAGCCCATACCGCCGCCGTACTGGCGGTTTTGGTTTTCAAGAACCATAGTCATGGGGAAGGCTGGCCGTGGTGGCAGGTTGCAAATCGCAATGGCCGGGATGCAAAGAGCGGGCGCAGGTCCGAATGACAACAAGAGAGGAGTGGTTCCAGGTGGGCGATCAATTGACCAGTGGAGCTCTTTTTCTCCTTGGTTTCTTTTTTTTTTTTTTTTTTTCCCTTCTTCTAATGTTGCCGATTCCTCACAAGCTCGGGCGGTTATCTCTGGGTGATGTTCAGAGACCCCTCGCCCATGTGAAGCACGAATTTAGGCCGATGAATGACAATCTGTATGTTGGACTACAGGAGAAAGTGCAGGATGAGGCGAAGATAGAACGTATGTAAGCATGTAGGAAGCCGGTCCAGGAGGATTTGGCTATGTAGGACCGAAGGGGAACAGCTCGTGTGGTTCTTGATGCACAACGCGGAACAAAAATATAAAAACGAGGCCAGGTTGAAGGTCTGGGGAAAGGCGATCGGCGCAGTTAAGAGTGTGCGTTGTGAGAGTAGAAGAAGAAGAAGGACAAGAAGAAGAAGAACAAGAAGAAGACGAGAAAGTGAGGAAGGGCAAGTAGATGTGGTACTGTGAAGGATACAAGACAAGGTACACAGAAGTACAGAGTTCAATGATGTATGACCGTACAGTACTATACACGGGGTATGTATGTATGTATGTATGTATGTATGTATGTATGTATGTATGTATGTATGTATGTGTATGTACAGTACTGTACGGGATATCGAGGGAAGGAGATCGGCAAATGCCACCAGTGATGTTCAACAACTAAATGCCAGACGGGCTGGTGAAGCTGAAGAAACCAGGCGGGTGGAGAAGCAGATAGCAATGCGATAATGGGAACGGAAAGGAAAACAATGATAGGTAGAAGAACCTGGATATCAGCAATCATTCATGGGGAAAGGCGAGATAGGAGAGAGGGGAAGGAAGCTGAGAGCAGAGTCGGTTGAAATGGATACTCTTTATGTGGTAGGCAGCTGATACCCACCCCCTTTTTTACGGGGTAAAACCTCTTGAAATTTGTGCTATTGGGTGGAGCTGGGCTTGCGCGCTGGGATGATGTAAAAGGACAGCGGAGCTGATGTGATGGGGGGTATGATGAAAATGCCCCAAGGGACACTGGAGCTGGATCCGCAACGGGAGAGGCTGCTACTTGACGCTTTCGTGTCTGTTGTTCCCATGTAAGGAACTCAGCAGTGACGTAACAGGTTTTTGCAAAAACGGCTACTTTTCCCGGATTTATTTTGAAAATAACGAACGCATCGGCAAGCAGTTCAATGCCAGACTCCAGCAGCTCCTTAGATCAGCAACCTTTCTTTGCCTTGGAAACAGCCAGTTGTCAAAATTCAAGCAACCTCCCTGTTGGGAAATCTTTTTCCATTTCCCCCCCCCCCTCTTAAGTAACCATCGCAAGGTCTTCTTCCTCTCCAGATCATTTTTATCTATGGCCCCACAGGGACACTCCACCCACCGGTCCCATTGGCGATGACCTACCAGATGGCATTATTACTTCTATTCGAGGGCGGAATAATTCACCGCTGTGTGGATTGCAGTGGAGGAGGGGGATGTGCGGGGGATTGGCCAAGGGATGCCGGCATTCGTCGATATTCTTTTCTGCCCTGCCTGCTGATTGGGGAGGAAACCCAACCATCTGTCTGCCCTTTTCCCTAGTGGCTGCTGGGCTGCAAGAGGAGATCCGTCAGCCATTTCCAGCCACGAAACGTAATCCAAGATTGCTTGTTTTTTCGTGGTTTACGCACACCCCTGCGTTGCTTACGCGGCCCCTTCATGGAAAGAAAAATAAAAGGAAACAAAAAAAAAACAGCAAAGTAAAAGCAGAAAAAGAAAGAATTCATTGTGCGATTCTTGATGTTCTTGGCGTGTTCTTTTCGACGGATTATTTAATTTTCTGTCCTTTTTGGGACGTAACCGGCGTTAAGGTTGGAAGTGGCTGAGCTTATGGCTTGCTTGCACGACTGCAACGTTTATGGCGGAAACAAGATCAAGGGAAAATTCTTCTCCAATTTTTGCTGGATAAATTGGCTTTTGATCAACTAAATAAACCTTGTCCTGAAATCTCGCGCACGGCTACTTTTGACTGCCCTTGGGAGTGTTTGTGAACTCGGTCACGTGATTATATATATTTACGGGAACCAGTTTTTTTCAGCGGGAAGAAATTGGAAAGATTTCATTTACTTTCAATTGGGCTCTCATCCTCGTAACCCCCACCTCGGTTCCACACCCCCCTTTTTTGTTGCGATGGAATGTCGTTGTTTATCCTGTCAGCTCGGGGTCGCTGGTGGAGGGGTCTGCATATTGCGGACTCCGTCGAGATTAGTTTGCGATGGTGGCGTATGATCTGTGCATTCCCACTACTTCGACTCCTCAGCCTTTTTTGCAATCAATATCGAGCATTAGCTGGTACTGGGAAACGGGATTCACTACTACAGTGCTCTGTACGGAGTACACGCAAACTGTACGAGGTTCTTTGGGGAAGGGAGACAAAATTCAGGGGCGCGGAGACTATTGAAGGTAATCCTCGCAGGAGTGTGTCCTGTCAATCCTTGGTTATTATTCTCTGCAAAACCATGGTGAAGAGAAACACTGCGCAAGGGACATGTTATATTATTCCCTTCTTACTCACACAATGTTCGAAAACACAAAAGAATAAAGGAGACAATTCTGAAACAAGCTATTCATCTTCACAAAATGATTATCAGGGGTGGTAAATGGGGAATTTTGCAGGGTCATACCTGTTCTGCTGTTGCAGATCATAGACATCCCCTGTGAACGCTGTTCATGGACTTGGTAAAAATGACGGCAACCGAAAATCAAAGAGCAAAATGCTAATTGAAAATATCTGACGGAACATGACAATTTGCTAACTTTTAGCAATGTCAGGTCGTACAAATGGAGTACATGAAAATACGCTGCTCAGGAACTCAAAGACAATGCATATTGATGAGAAACCCCGTGGGAATCAGTAAGCAAGGGAACCAGAAAGATACCCAGAGGGACGACAGGTGTCAGACTCATGATTTCACCTCTTGGCGGTTTTACCCCATGGTGATCAGGAGGTCAGATGTCATATCAGCCATGATCACAACAGCTTCCAAAACAAGGAAGACGATGAGATTTCCATGGCACCTGGGGCTTCTCTCCCCTGACTCCGGCTTCCGGTCTCCGAAAGAGCACGTTCATACATAGTATCCACAAGACACGCATTTCGACAGTATCTAATCCCATTCGATGTATGAAAATTAAAACGCAAGGCATCAGACGGAAACTATTCCAGCTTCTTCCATGACGCTTGCTCTCTTGCCAATATAACAAGAGGAAAAATCGCGTTCGGGAGAGTGGCGGGACATGCCACTGCCCCACCGTCAGAGGGAATTTTCCACAGGTCCCTAGTCGGCTGTTACACAGCATTTGAAAAAGTGTGCATCTGTCCGGAATGGAAGCTGTGATGGGGTTTTCGCAACAGGAGCACCAGCTGAAAAATTACCACAGAGATAGGCTTCAACAGTTTATCGAACTTGGGGGGTTCGAAACATCCACCGCGACTATGGCCTTTTTCTCCTCGAGCTGCAGATTCTCCTGGGTGGAAGAACAATAATGGAACAGGGTTAAGTCGCACCAGTGTTGGCGTGTGGACATCGATAGTCTAGTACCCCTACGAATCTGAAAAAAAGAAAAGAGAGAGGAAAAGACACCCCACACCAACTTCACTGACTCCAAAGCACCCACCAGGGCCACAGTCGGACAGCACAAACCTCAATAATCGCCCCAGTAATAGCTCCACTAGACAGGCCACTAGCAGCACCATCCCAGCCAGCCTGGGACGCTAACGAGCAGCCCCCCTCTCTTCGATCCGTCCTTCGCGGTAGTGGAGCCGTTGAGTGTTTTCGGCCACCCAAGTAAGGATCTACACTGACAGCTTCCCCAAGTAAACAGCGTCAGCGGCACCGGCCAACGGAGGGGTATTTGGGACTTGGCGTGTCCAAGCCATGGGAAGTATGCCGGAGCTTACGAACATGGTGGTTTCGATAAATCTGAGAATCATCAAATAGCAAGAAAAGAGTTGAAACGGTTGAATTCTTATTCCTCAAGTAAATTCGCCCTTTTTTTTTTTTTTTTTTTTTCTTTTTCCTTGCTCTCTGTTGACTCGATACCTTCCCTGTACGGAGTACTCTATAATGGAACTCCGTACATTGATTGCGTCATCTTAAATTCTGTTATCTACGTGGGCAGGAGGCAGCAGGCCGTAGGCAGAGGTTGCTCTGTCAAGGAATATATAAGGTTTTAGGTTTTATGGGTGTGCGTGAGAGTTTGAAAAGAAGGTTTCAGGGGCAATCCCGAAGAACAGAGCGGGAAACTCAATTACTAGTGCAGTATTCCGGTATTCCGTATTCCGTACCAAGTAAACAGTAAACTGTAACAAAGCAAACTAACAATTTCCTCTTCCAGTATGGAGTAATACCATCGATAGCTTCAGATGTAGCATGTCTGTCTCCTTTATATACCCTTTGCCTTCAAATGATGCTGGAATATGCTTTTTTGCGTGGGCTAAAATTGAAATACCAGTGCACGCGTCTTCTGTGGCTCAAAGCTTTTTCTCGATATAGATTCCGCACTTATTCTCAAGCTGAGGAGACCGCTTAGCAATATCCACCTCATGTCAACTGTCGTTGAAAGCAACAGCTGTCAGTCGTCATCGCCAAAATAGAAAAGATGTTAGCGGGATCTTAGCGTCACTGGCATCTGCTCAATTTTTGATTTCTTCAGAGTAGGGGGGAAGCCTTTTCTGACCCAGGCAGGCTCAAAAGCTCTTTTGAATATCGCGTAGTTTTCAATCTATGGAATCGAGGAAATTGATGGGGATGCGAAAAAATGCAAAAGGATTCTTTTTAATTACTCTGTACAGTTCGTTTTGTTTTAAGCGGTCAATCAAGATATATATGTTCTCCGGTACTGTAGAAAGGATACTTTCTTTTCTTTTCTTTTCTTTTCTTTTTTTCTTTTTTTCTTTTTTTTTTTTTTTTTTTTGGGCAGCTCATACATACTCGTTTAACGGCTCAACCCAACTTTCATGCCAGCAAAAACTCAGTATCAACAGAGCCACCCACAACTAATTAACTACCTACAGCCTAACAGATCCCAAGCCTATGTGGAAAATCACCCCAACACCGACTAGCATCCACTTGCAGCTTAGCGCTCCAGCTGTTGAAAGTTGGCAATCCTCAACTCTGACCTCCCCGGTACCGCCCGCCAAGCGCCTAGCTCAACCGGCTGCCATCCGCATTCTGACAAAAGTTCGTTTTTGCTTATTTCTTAGTTCAAAACTATCTTGGATGGAAGGAATTGTCTGTCCCGTTTTTGTTCGGGTGCTGCGGGGACGAGAAAATCGGGCGGTGAAGTAGTCGCATCTCCAGCCAAATAATATATCCTTCAATCAGCTCAAATGAACAGTTTATGATGGGGGTTTGCGACAGTCCGTATTCCGGGGGTGTAGAAACATTGGCATTGTTCCAAAACGATTGAAGCAGTTTGTTGCTCATTCCTTGAGATGAGAGAGGCTGATGGTGATACTACGTAGGGTGAGGTCTCTGCCGGTCACTTCGGTCATTCCGCGTCATCTCTTACTTTTTTTTTTTTTTTTATTTTTGAGGCACGTAGCCAATAATAGCATTGAGAAAACTTGCTTTCCAGAAGGAAATCAGGTCTGGAAGGTTTTAACAATTATTAATGCAGCCAAGTGTGACAAGACTTCTGAAATTGATTGGTTATAACTGCACAAACAGCATTATTTTCACACTGCATACACATCAGCATGCATAAATAATCAACCTAAATTCTTTAGACTTTTCCGTGCAGGTGAGTTCATGAGATTAGAAGTTCTTGATGCGGATTGAGGAGGAGAGCAGCACTGAGGAGAGCAGCACTGAGGCGACGAGCACAGAGGGAGGTGAAATGTTATTTTCTGCTGCAAGATGAGAGAGCTTCATGTGACCCCTTCCAAATGAGCATCCATGGATGAATTGTCCACCTCCGGACCTTTCAGACCTTTGTGATTGAAGGGGGGAAGTCTCGTGCAGATTTTTGCCGATGGATCGAAACCGCTGGCAGTCGCCAATTGTCCGGGGGATCTGCCATCGTCTTCGAGAAAGGCGAGAGATTTTCGATCCGTCAACTAAGATCCGAGGCCGGGAACGGCGGGAAGGGGTCATCGATAGCAGGATAGATCTTTGAGATCCATGGATATAATTTCAGTGATAATCTATATATTTCGAATTCTAAACATGTTCCAGATCAACAGGGACAATATCTAGGCTTTATTAAGAGAACGTCGGGCTGATAACAAGATTGATATTTTTGGTTCTGGGGACGTCAGAATGGGAGGCCGCATATATGATCGTCAACTGCTCCTGTCATGCTTACATTTGTTTCCTGGTACTAATCTCAATGAAGATGATTGAAAGAAGTTTTCACATTCTGAAATAATCCAAGAGCTTTTTTTTTGTTTTTTTTTTTTATTTTTTTATTTTTTTTTTTATGTATAAATGTTCCAAATGCGCTATTCGCGTCACCGAAAAAGGTTCTTGCAGCAGCTCGTTTCAAACGGCTTCTTGCACATGAACATAGGCGGTGGACAAACTGGAGAACATTTCTGGCTGGAAAAAGGAGAGTCCAGACGGTAATAATGATTATTTTATCCATGTAAAAAACCGTAAAATCTATGCACACACACTTCTCCTTCGAATTCAAAAAGTGCATCTCATTCCCCATGTTTCTCATCACTCTCATGCTTTATTTTCCTGTGGTTGCTCCCTCCTGTCCTGCAATGCAAGATATCGATGCCCTCTGCTTGGCGTGCATAACAGCATTCTCTCGATCAATGCTGGGAAAACCCTGTCACTGGGAGATGGTGTGGAAGAGGGAGCCAATGCATGCACGCAATCGAACAGCCCCCCCTAGTATTATGTTTTGCCACAGGCTTATCATTAATATGACCAGACTTCATTGGTTGTTCGGTGACATCAATAGGCTCCTTCAATTACATCAACAGCGCAAGATGAACGCATCCTTACCTTCGAAGCCGCATATGAATGACAAGGCCTGCATGACACGATATGTAGCAGCGAGGGGAGAAGTACCGTTTCAAACCCTTCCGTGCCAGCCAAAGGAAAACTATCTACAATTTCCTACTTGGAGAGACAACTCGTTTCCCTTTCTTGAACCGGATATACACACCTAGTTAACATGGTTGCCCTCCCTTGTCGTTGCGCTCCCACCGCCATCGATTTAGGCTCTAATCTAGTTCCTCTCGAATCTCGATATAAGGGCGCCATTTCAATTTTCCATGATATCTCGGAACAGATAAACTGGCCCAGCAGGGCACAAAACGAAAAGCCACAGTAAGCTTATTCTGCCGCTAAAAATGCGATAACTGCGATCCTTAGGTCCTTGGCCCGAACAAGAATGGGGCCGCGGTCGGGGTCGGGGTCGGGGGGGGGAAAGTTGGCTTTTCCGTGTGTTGCCCTGTGGGGCTGTGGGGCTGTGGGGCTGTCTCCTCCGGGAATCACTTGGCGCCGAAAACGAGCGTGGGTCCAACCACCAGACCCGAATAAATGGGGAAAACCAGGCGGTTGGTTGTTGGTGGGGATGCGAATATAACCTTTCTATGCTTCATTTTTGGAAGTCGAACGGGGAGAAGGATTAAATTATTCTGTGCTTACTGGGGCGAGAAGGTGAAGGTGGAAAAAGCAAGGTGAAGTATTCATTGGTTGCGCTCAGCAGGACTGCTGGTTACGAAGTACTGTATGTATGTATGGACCGTATAAACACATTTTCAAATTTTACCTGTGCTAGTAATTTATAGCTGATCTGTTACAGTAATGATACGGTCATGCATGCACATACATCTAAGTGCGCGACGACAGCAGCTCCAAGGTATCTCTCTACGCCGGGGACCTTCTTTGCCTCAAGTGCTTCACGGCTAATCACATTCATCAGGTTGACTTGTGAACAGTAATCCGACATGGTGGCAGGAATCGCTTTGTTCAAATGTCTGTCTAAACAATTAAAGGGCACATATGCTCCCCAAGTTGTGCCAACTCTCTGTTATCAATGCGGGGTTTAGAGGATGCGGTTCAAGAAGCTGGAATCCTCCAACCAGCCAATGCCACAAAACAGCTTCCGAAGTCATAGTTCAAAGAAGTTGCTATTATAATTTCGTTCTGCTTTCTTTCTAACTCTCGGGCATGATGGAAACCTTGATCTGACATCCATCTCTGATCATTTCACCATGATACAGTTATGGGAATCTTTATCATAATACATTATCCCTGCCATCCACTACCAACACACGATTTCCAACCCCACAAGGGGTCTCCTGAGGAAGTCGTCGTCACTCGTTCATTTATTGATGATTATTCCTACGAAGCAGAGAACGGTACAGCATACGTATGTCTCAGAGAAATGATCTATATGATCTCCATATCAGATCAGGGCTGGCGGCAGATCGCCAGGCGCTTTTGCATTCTTGTCATTCCTGACAATTTAGCCTGCGCCCCCTTTGCGTGCATCTGAAACATACACCTATCACGCTCCCACAGCCACGTTGCAGGTCCGAACAATCTCTGATCTTGTGTTTGAAGGATGTTTATTCCATTTAACCTTGTTTGGATCAGAGGGCGGATCGACTGACAATTTTCCCAGGAAGTCAAGAACATACACGCGCTGGATGTTTTATGTGTCAGACTTTGCATTTTTGCTACGTTTGTTAACCAATGGGCTTTGTCAAAAACGAAAGGTAAGAATGCTATGGTACGGTGACTGTGAGTTTCAGGGTCAACGGGGAGAAAAAAGAGTGAACTTTTCTTGGTAAGGATTTTCATCTTCGGCATTCAGTACGTTGGATGGTGTTGAACAGGCATCAGACAATATCACTGGAGTAAAACAAAACAAGTGGCACAAGGTGTCAAGCCAAGGTTGTGGGTAAGTTACCTTGTCAGGGGTAGGGCAGGGCACAAGCAAAAGATAGAATCCCAGTTTTAGTTAGGGGGTAGCTGACCTTGACCAAAATCTCGGAAATACCAAACCTTCGTTCGCTGAAGACCAGAGGCCTACGACTATAATGAATATTATTTTCCAAAAGAATTTGAAAACTTGCCCAATCATAGAGCAAGCATCAAACTTGCAATGTTGCACTCATCGAGGTGCGTCAAAAGAAACCAAAAAGAAGAAGAAAAAGAAAATTAAAGGAAACCTTTTACTCGAAACTATCATCGATAAACTACAATCAACCACTGCCCAAAAAAACCCCAAGAGCCAATATGAGCCGGGATGCCAAGCCGCACTCGGCGATGCCAGAGCTATTCCACCCACTCAACGTCCAAGGACCCGCTGGTTACGTTGCATTGATTCCCAAGCTCAGTTTCAATGGGTTGAGAAGCTTGGCTTGGGCGACTGATAAACCAGATTCAACTCACTCACTCGCTCACGTTGGCATCCCCCATGCTTGTTCGTGCTCTACCCCGGGGCTAGTGAAAGCTCCCACGGTACTCACAGGGCCAAAAGCCAAACCGCCAACAGCATAGCGCCGGACACCTGGGGACATGCACACGACATCGGACCGGTCACCGAATGTGTTTTGAAGCTCCTATCTATGAATGTCTAGTTTAATCTAGGTCCACACTGGGACGTCTGGGACGGTCTGCCCTGCGGGATTCGAGGGCCGGGCCGCTTGAAAATGAATTGACCGAAGAAAAGAGAAGGCCGCGTACTTCGTTCGTATAGATCTGATTCGGCATTGGATGCGCTCCTCGAAAGGTACGATTTAGGACTCTTGACGTATACTACTAACGTAGCTACTACTAGATATATGCATAACTAATCGATTAGGTTACAAAACCATAATGATTGAAATTTACGGCTGCAAGTTGAATCCGGCGCTGAAAAGGGTGAGAATAAAATCTGAACAGGAAAGGGGTAAAATTGATACTTAGATAGACAGCTAGTGGACGGAGACAAAAGAAAGTCAATGTGTTGGATTTTCAGGCAATGGAGCTTATATTCTTTGCAAAAGGAACATGCATGCATGCTTCTTTTTGGTTTCATTTTCATCTCTACCCAGGGCTGAGTGTTGACCGAAGCCTCACTTCAAGTCCTAACTAACTGTCTGCCACTGTTTCCTCAGGCGCCCGATACCAGGGGCTCCTGCGGATCGCCTCAACCTTCCCCTGTGCTTCGTAGCCCAGTGTTCTGAAACACGCTGTCGATATTTCTGAGGTCACCGTCCCCCGCCCCCGGCCCCCCGGTCCCCCGGTCCCCCGGTCTTATATGTATCACCTCTTGCTGACCAGCATGATCAACATCCACCATCGTCGGTTGTGCGATCATTTTCTGTAACTGCTACAGATGTCAGAGGGTGTTTTGGCGCTTTATTGCTTCCTTGCACGAAAGGGGGTTGGGATTCGCTGGGAAGCAGCTTCGACTTTTTTTTAAATCTCTTTTTATCTCCTTTTTTTATCTCTCTCTTCTTGGTACAGAATTCAAACCCAATGATATCCATGATTTTAATTTATCAATAGTTGCTTTGAAAAGCTTCGCTCGTCTGGCATTGGGAGGGGGAACCCAAAAACGAAAAGGGTAAAAGAAGCAAAATAGAAAAAAGAAAAGAGAGAAAAAAGAAAAAAGAAAGTCGATGCAGGAAATAGGTTCGTGTAAGGTGCTTTTCCGTTATTACCAGTAAATACCACGGCGTGTATACGAAATGTAAATTTGGGTAAAATATTGATACAACGGGGTAAAATTCCGCGTGGATAAACATATCTTCTCAAAGTGGGTTTATTTTCGCCGTTACGGACCCGAATTCTTCTTTTGAATATTATCCTTTTGTCATTTCCAACGGCTTTATCGATAGCCCTGTTGGGCCAGAGCGGGCAGCAGGACCCAAAATATTCAAACCCGTTTTTAACAAGCAGGCGTTTCGGTTTGGAAATACCATGTGTATTTCACATGAGCTGGCGACTGAAATAGAGAGACACTTGATCGACAAATCAAGGACGAGATATTGCCACACCAACTGCACAATTGCGTAGTGATCTTGAAGCAGCAGAGCGATCGCTTGAATATTGGTTGCTCGGCAACAATCAACTCGAAATGGGATTGGAAGTCGGTTTGGGATGTTGGAAAATGGGGCTATGATGTCAGAAGGGCCCGAGACGGAACAAGTCACAAACGCGCTTGTGCAGCAGGGGCACATATATACTATATCCTTTATCTAGAACACGTTGTCTTTCCCATGTCCATTTTTGTGGAGATGGGAGAGGAAAACTTGTTTTTGAATATGGAGCCCGTGATGAAAAGGGGAAAGAAAAATAGTGGGTAGGAGGATTTGGGAATTTTCATTCTGTCTTAGCCATGTACGGTGCGGCGAGTAATTGAAACCATATTTTTTCGACATTGCTTTGAACTTCCCACAAATTCTATTATCACCCGCTGGTTGCTGTGTTAATGATTGAATGAAATATTAATACCACTCACAGTCTGCTACCACATCAACATGGAATACTCTGTCTTGATATCACAAGTTTTGTAACCACTGTTCAATTCATCCAACGCTTTTGCTATGAGTGGTGGCTATGATACCCATCATATTGCTGGGTTTCTTACCCCGGATTTTACCACAACTCCTCGGCCCGAAGCTGGTTTAGAGTTTACGGGATTTACGCACACGCAGACAGAAAATTGCAATGCAACAAAAATTGATAAATAATGGCCAGGTGAATCTCAGCTAAACGGTGGTAGTTGGCTATACGTTATCTTTTTATCTAAATTCTTGGGGCTGTATATATCCAGGTTGTATACATACCCTTTAATTTTGTGCTACATAATGGAGAAGACGGATAGCAAGCTCACTGGATTAATAAACCTCCCTCACTTGACGGAGTCCCATAACGCGCATTTCCAACTGCTACAGCCATCCGAGCTTCACTGAAGTGCTGGACGCAGTAACTGCTGCTGCGGCTGCACCAGCTCTTCGTCCAAACACCGCTCCCGCTGTTAATCCGCTCCCGCCGGGATAGTTTCCGTAGAACAAGCCACCAAGCATTTCGCCTGCACAGTAAAGGCCTGGGATCTCCTTGTTGGAAAGACAAGATATAACTCCTGCTGTCTCCGGATTCGCAGCAAGACCGCCAAAGGTAAACGTGATTCCACAAGAGACTTTGACAGCGAGAAAAGGGGCTTGGTCAATAGGCAGGGCCCAATTTGACTTTGCGAGATCGAGATATAAACTCTTGGATTGAGTTGATAAGCCATCCTTCACAGCCGGATTCCATTTTACAGTAGGGTTCTCCTTTCTGTGCTGATAAACTGCCATGTTGAAATTTGTGAGAGTAGCGATAAACTTCTCCTTGTTCTGTAGTCCATGTTGAGAGCACTTTTCTGTCAGTTCAGCAACCGAATTTGCCGTGATATGGTGAACTCTTTCCTTTCGATATTCCTCTTTGCGAAGCCAGGGGATCATCTTTTGATCCCAGATTTGGAATGCAACGTGGTCCGGTTGAGCGAGGATAGCTTTTCCGAAGCGGGCGTATGTATAATTTCGCAGATCTATTCCTTCGTCGACGAACCGCTCACCGTTCAAGTTTACCATGATACCTAAGGGATAACCTGATTTGGTAAATTCGTTGGATACCTGCCGGTCACCGGAGTGGGCGGGAGCATTGGCATCCCAGGCTACTGAGTGACACCCCGACCAGTTGCCAGCTTGCTTGGCGGATATATCTCGCATAGCCATCTCGAGGCAGTCGCCAACGTTGTAGGGGGTGCCGCGGACCAATGCCATATCCCATCCAGGTCCAAGATACTGCGCTCTCATGCGAGGATTAGCTTCAAAACCGCCAGCTGCAAGGATTACTGCTGGCGTTTTGATAATCTTCTCCTGTCCTCCATGCTCAACAGCCAAGCCGCAAATGGCTCCCGTAGTTTGATCTTGGATTAATCTTTTGGCAGCAGTCGAATATACAACCAAGATCCCGTGGCGGTCAGCAGCCATCTGATGGTCACGAATGAGCCCTTTACCCCCGTCCTCCGTCTTCAGCGACATACCTCCCCAAAATTTGTACCGGCCATCCACCTTGTATGCCTGCCGGTTGAATGACAGTTGGAATCTTACCCCGTTTTGCGCAAGCCATTTCACAGCAGAATTGGAGTCTTGAACCAGCACGCGGCTAAGATGAGGATCCCCTCTTCCAGCGGAAATACGGGACATATCATCGGAGAAGTCCTCGGGCGTGTAGGGTTCCATATCGATTATGCTTGCGGTTTCTTGATCCACGTTATTCACAATAGGAAGAAGGTCTTGTAGACCATAGAAAACCGTTCGAAAGGCACCGGCGGTAAAATAGGAATTTCCCCCAGCCCACTCCTGGGGACATTTGTCAATTAAGACAACTCGCTTTGCTCCTGACTGAGCAGCTGATATTGCAGCTGAGAAACCGGCATTGCCGCTGCCAACAACAAGCACGTCGCACTCAGCAGGAAGAGCCATGGTTGATAATTCAGTGATTAGATTTTTTTTTGGAATAGGTTTCACCAACTAGATGGGTAGGTAAATGGGAGACATTAGATCAAGAGCAAAAAGGCCATGTGACAGTCGCAGAAGAATTTCAGCATTGGATGAAGGCAAACTCTTGCAAAGGAAGTATTGAATACAAACTTGCTTGCGTGAGGACCCAATACATGATCATGAGAAAGCCTGGCTATGGGTATCTACAAGAGCAATTTGTGTGTTTATGTGCGGCATGGCAAAATTGAAGATAACCTTCAGATGATCTCAAGCTGGAAATGAGACCTGTTGATTCCGGAGCAAAGATACGTCTTCTGTGAGCTCTTTGCATACATGAAGAGCTCCGGACGCGCGGGAATAATCTTTTGTTGTTACGAACAAGAGAACAAAAGTAATCAGAAAAAGGGTCTTAGAGCGTGTAATGCTCGACTGAATTTCTAGACACCGTGCAGCGGGGCGAAATGCTGCAGAGAGTGGAACACGAAACCTTGCAGCGTATTTATTTAGTTGGCCGCGGCAATTCGCCAATACGTTTGCATTAAACCGAGGGAGAGCTTATATTGATTCTCGGGACTGCATCAATTCCTCCCAGTTAATAAAAAACTTCATAAAGTCGAACAAGCGGACCCAGAGCCTTTCTTATGTCCAACCACTGACACATCAGTCCGTGATAAATAAATGTCTAATATACAGTATATCGCAAACGCAGTTTGGGTTAGCTTTCCCTTCCAAGTAGTTCTCGGGATATAAATGACAGGCTGGTTTTTGGTGAATTGGAACCTTTTTTTTTTTTTTTTTTTTTTCCTGTTCGGTTTTCTGCACGTCTGCACGCCTCGGGTTTGATTTTCAACCCCATCCGCCAAAGATTTTACCCTGCCTAGGGAGCAGAGACTCTGTCTCGTGTTTTAAGGGGTCAAATTTTTCACAAATGTACATCATCCGGCAGGGCTCTGAAATGAACTTGGGATACGATAAAACAACTGGAAAACACTCCAAAATCACTCCGGACAACTTTGAACTGTGGACAAGTAGGCCAAGAATGAAGTTTCATATTAACTAGATTAACGATCGACAGGGCCGTTAAGGATTTGCTCTCTATAAAGCAAAGCACAGGCCTCGCCCTGCTGTTGATTTTCAATTGAATGACATACATACTCGCGTACACCTGTCCAAAGGGTAGTCTCGAAGGTAAAGTCGCCATTGTTACGGCGCTCCATCTGGGCTTGGAGAAGCTATCGCCAGGAAGGCTTTTGAAGGTGCCAATATCCTATTTGAAAACATTGCAGCTGATGCTGGGAGAACGGGTGGTTCAAAATATGGACGTGAAAGACGCTCCGGGTCGTGCCAATGCTGTCCTTCCTGAATCTTAACTGTGCGGGCATGCACGGAAAAGCCCACCTCTAGAACTAGCAAAGGGGAAATATGGAGTGCTCGATATCGTCGTCAATAACTCCGGAAGGACATGGAAAAATTTGCCGAGCTTTGAAGTCACTGAGGAAGAATTTGACATGATAGTTTCTGTGGATATCGAGGATATCTGTTTGAGAGTTAATGTGGCGGTTTGTCATTCTGTTGAATAGCTAGAATCCAGGGGGTGTTTTCGAACACATCTTTCTGTTGCGGGAACTGGCGTGAGGCTTGGTTGAGTCTTCTACAGTGTCAACGGGAATATGTTATGTCGTAAGTACAGTCCTCTATCTGCTGTGGGATATCTGCATGTATGTACTCTGCATTTCTGATTGATATATGCTAAACTACGCAAGGCTTTCATATGAAATGTTGACCTGATGGTATCGGGTCGGTTTATATGTTCGTTCCGAGGGATAATGGTTTATCAATGCTATTCTAAGTGTTAGGGGGATATGAATCTTTAGGTCTGACAAGATATTGAATACTGATAGGCAGAATATTGAATCCCCTCTACCTCCGCCGGGACAGGCAATATCACTCGTCCTGGCATTCGTACTGACTATGGTGAGACACAGGATGGAGAGTGGGCACTTGCTGCTCGAATTCCTCCTAAAAACCAATTCTGACAGTTCTAGTACATGTTCACAGACCCTGGAAGTTTGGGATGGCCCTGCTGATTCCAGATCATGAAAGCACCTTTTCATCTGCCGCGATCAGCTTCTTTCAGAACAAGGACCTCCGTTGAATGATTCAAGTATCCCAGCAGATTGACATGGTATACATATATAGATTTTCCTCGGGGCTTACCTTTGACGCTCCATAGGAGCAAGGGGCCAGGAGCTCAGGATTCAAATAGAAAAGTTGCCCTGCGTCGGTTTGCTCCCATTTGGTTCTCTGTTGTCAATCACTCCCCTTATCAAAGGAAAAAGAACGTCGAAGCGTTCAAAAGATTTGAGATAAAATACTGCAAATCGAGTCGCGCTGCTCTGAACAGAGAAAAGCCCTAATGGAGGAACGAATCTGAGATAATCCAAATCCCAATTTTTCCCTATCTAGGCTGTCGGCTGCGTGACGTAGGCTAGTTCTATAAACACGCCACACACAGACTTCCAGGAGGTTTAGGCAGATATTAATCTCCGCAATGGGTTCCATAAAAGCGTTGTTAATTTGCTTTGACGGGTTGGTGATGGGGGAAAGTTGGTAAATTCAGAACAAATATGAACGGAACGCAGTTGTCAAAGTCCTGTGCTAAGAAGGCACTCGGATATCTCACAAAATAGTGATTGGAAATGCTGAAGCAGAACCAGAGGACCCGAAAACACGACGACTTCGTTATTATGCCGCCACATCTGCCAGATGAAGATATGCTTCTAGGTAATCCATGAGAGAGCTCCTCCACCTTGGTGGTTATATGGTTCGTCCCTCGAGGAATCATGAATAACTTAGGCGTCGAGAGTGCATTATTTTTTCCGTCGTGGTTGTTGAGAAATTTGCATGAGGGTGAATAATCCTTCCAAGGTTGACTTGAAAATATTAGTAGTGATTATGATTTCCTGTCATTAAAAAGGGAGAAGAAGTCTAAACCAACCTTGGGAGTTAACACCACTGGTCACCAACCAATTGAGCCAATCCGCTGCCAAACTTCCAAACATCTGGCTCAATTCAACGCAAGCATCCATGGACGACGTTTCTTCAGCGATGAGTCTAAGAAGTGCAAAAAGTGTTAGCTGTGGATTGTGCACAACCAACCCTTGGGTTCCCGTCCGGATAAAACAACACATACATGATGTCCGCGACAGGTGCGGAGCCATTGGCCTTCAAACTCTAGTGTTTTGATCCAAGATCCGTCCATGTTGAGATCCGCTTGGGCCAGCCACAGGTTGCGAAAATGGCTGGTTTGCCTTCTAGTAGACAGAATCTTGCGACCATCAGGTTCAATTTCATGGCTTAAGAGCCGGCTGACGCCAGTCCCAGCGGGTTGGCATTTTGTTGGTCGTCTTGTGGGGAATCGCACGTCTCATCGACTTCAAGGGGATATGCCTCAAGTGGTGCTAAAATGAGGGTTATTCTATACAGGCAAATATACTGAGAGGGTCTATGAGTCTATGAGCAATAGAGCAGCTAGTTATATCCTCGTCCATTTGTTGGCGTAAACTCGTTCGGTGAAAGTCCGCTGCCAATCCTCTGGAACGCTCATCCCCATGTTCAGAACCGCAACCAACCACCTTGCTCATCGGAGTTAGTTAACTAACTACCCAACTAAATTATCGCACGGTCTTGCGGCACATTCGTCGCATTCGGATTCAAGTTTGTTTTATGTGCACAGCCTAACTTGGTGCTTGTTAACATATGAAATAAAGGCCGGGACTCTGGTGTTTCTGCGCCAAATGCGTCCTCGGGCCCATTGATTTTACGAAACTAACTCTCTCGATTGACCTGGCAATCATCGAAGAGGAACCTTTTGCCCAAAGTTGCGCCGGTCTTTTGGGAAGCGAGTAGAGTGATGAGTCGGGTCGCAGATTTCCTCCAGACGAGGAGGCAAATTGGAGAAGAGGGTCAACCAAGTCCTAAACTCCTCAAAATCTGCTGGTGCTGCAGCATGAGCCTCGCTCTCCATGTCGTCCCACGTTGTTCCCCAACTCGGCTTGGACAAACCTCGAAAATCCGGGGGCATCTCGAGGGACGCAATTTAGTAGCGGGGAAATTTAGCGTGAGAGACCGTTCCGATTATTGTGGTGGAGAAATGATTCCATTCTAGTGTCCCGGTCTACGGCAGAAGCACATCACATGAGGTGCTCGGGTGATAGACCTCTCCAGACTCACTGGAATATTCGGGGCGGATGGGGGAAAGGAACGGATACCTCAACATCCTGCGCGAGATTTTCATGTCTGGATCCTTCAAGAGTCCCCGACATGGCGGCGCTAGGGTCCAACAAATCTGCCACCGGCGTTCTGGGCATGATATAGTGTGCCTTTGCTGTAATAATACTTTTCGTCGTCCTCTTTCTCCTTCGAGTGCTTTCTTGCCTCATATCTCAGAGCTGGTGTCGTTGCATATATCTCACTATTTTCCGAGAGTGCTCTAAAAAATTCGCTGGACTGACCCGCCCCTCTTCTCTCCACTGGTTACGCGAGTTTGTTCGCCGCCTCGTTGCCCCGCCAGTAGACACGGATCTCTCCTATGGAGATGGAATTCGGACTTGGGAGCTAACCCTCTGTTCATGAATCCCAACAATTGCAATTGTACCACCCAATCCAGCAACCTCACACCATGGAACCTTCACAACGTCCGCGGAAGCGGGCCCGGATGGCATGCACCTTGTGCCATGAGCGTAAAGTTCGTTGCGACGTCTCTATTCATGGAAGTCCCTGCACGAATTGTTGGCTCGATGGCCACGAGTGCTCTATTAGGTCGAGTGTCTGTCAAGGGTAAGCAGATTGATCAGCCTCTTTTACCGGCATGAGGATGCTCTGACATAGAGCTCTATAGACGTAGTGTGAGATCACAGCTCTTATGGACAGATGCACATCTCCAAACCGATGCTCTGCTGCACAAATCTCATCCGACTAGTAGAATGAGGCTGATGGAATCAATCGTGTCGCAACCTGGTTTCCCTCAATATGTCAACCCTGCGCGACAACCTTCCTTTTCCCTTTTCTGCGATATTCGAGGAGAAAGTGAGCCTTGCTAATTTCGTTTCTAAATACTCTGTTGAGATTTACAATGATATTTCCAGAAAAACACAGCTAACAAATTCCAGAGGAGTTCGGGTTTGAACATTTCGGTGGAATGAATCCCCAGATCCCCAGAAATATCCTACCCTCTTCGGCAGATGGACCAAACGGAACTTCAGGTGTCATATTTTCATTCTACCGTTTTGTCGAACTGCGTAACCTTCACACGCTCTCGACGGAAGACGTCAAATATCTGGAGATGAAAGGTAGTCTGCATCTACCGGCTGCGCCAATTCTCCATGAATTCGTCCGTGAATATTTCCTCCATGTCCATCCCTGTCTGCCAATATTGAACGAGGCAGATTTCTGGAGTATGTACTCCAATCGAACTGAAGGATCAACCAAACCGCGAGCCATATCATTGTTCATTGTACAGGCAAGGTTCTTTGCAAGTTGTGCAGTAAGGCATCACTCTGGATCTCTTCACGGCTTAGTTATCCTAATGAGCTTTGCTAATCTACTTTTTTCGCAGTTCGTGCCGTCTGATATTATTCAATCTGCTGGTTTCGCCGACAATCGAACCGCACGCAATATTTTATATCGCAGAGCTAAGGTATGCCATTGTGAACTCTCTGCAAGAATTTTACAAAAACAGGACCTTATGTATGCTATACAGCTTCTTTTTGACCTGGATGCCGAAAATGATGCTCTAGCGAAGGCACAGGGTTCAATTATCCTGACCTACCAAAGTTCACATACAGACGTTCATGCCGGGAGCCGGTGGCTTACAAATGCTATACAAAATGCGATTCTTCATGGTGCCCATTTATATAATAGCAAATCTAACCAAAGCGACCCTCAAAAAATGACAAAGAAACGATTGTGGTGGTCCATCATACTTCGCGACCGAATTCTGCTTCTGGGGCTTCGCCGGCATCCTCAGATCACCCCACAAAATTTTGACCTGCCTCTTGACTGTTTGTCCGAGGAAGATTTCGAAGACGAGGTGTATAACTCTGAAGTTTATAGCCCTGAAACAAAACGACTTCTTGCAAATGTCATGCGCGTTCAGTACCAGCTGGCTATTGCGCTAACCGATGTATATGATGACTGCATACCGGCCGCATGGGTTCTCCCAACCAAAAGTGCTGACAGAGAAGGATTTGTGACAGCCATAAGGGATAAAGGAGATATTAGAGATAGCCTCACTCAGTGGGCGAATGAGGCCGAAGCGTCGTTTGGGCCCATCCTTTAATCGGATACTGTTCATGAATCCGTCACACTTTATTCCAACCTGACGTTCATGTATTACTAGTGAGTTAATCTTTTTTTTCTGTTATTACTACGTTCCGTTATTCTGGCCTATGTTGGCTTACAGTTGGCATTTTAGTACCGGTCGATTAGCCTTGTGTCACAACGAGACCCTCACCTTGGAAGCTCATCAAAGGTTTATCGCAGATACTTATAGTAAACGGTTAGAGGAAATTAAAGAGGAACTAGAAGAAGCAGCATTAGGCATCACAAGATCGGTTAAACGGCTATTGATGCGTGGAGTGGCACGACATCTTCCCATAAGCGCGTACGTCTAATGTTTTTAATAAATTGGGATTCTGTTAAACTCACTACTTTCGCTATTTAATAGGCTCTTATACTGACTTGTTGATGTTTACAGTGTTGCCTACACTGCTCTCCCACTAGTTTTAAATGCCCTTGATGTTAAATTATCTGGAACCACATCCCAATCTGCAACGCACAAGCGCCAACTGGGCTATTACGTTGAGGTTATGCAATTCTACCGAAACCGTTACGATGGCACGGATTACGTTGCCTTCCTTATCCAGCAAGTCTTGAAATTTGCAGAGAGCCAAAACCTCACGGTATCCTTCCAGGCTAGCGCGGGAACAAATGTGATGTCAAATTCGACTAATAACGACAGTGACGTCAGCGGGGATACAAATACATCAACAGCTTTGACAGAGCGATCTAATAGCGATAAGTTTGCTGAAAACGGTACGAAGAGCTGGGGGGAGATCTTGGTTAGACACCCGCGTCTATACCTACGGCTCTCATTGCCACTGGACATCGCCTTTGCGAGAGGACAATTTCCACGAGATGCAGATTTACCTTCGTTAGTTCGTGAGTTTCGTTTGAAAGATGATAGCGGTCCATCTGTCGAAACCATGGAAGCAACCATCCCAATGGAATTTCGGATGAAAGATCTCCCACCGCCTATGGATTCATTATCGAAACCTCCATCGCAGCAGAAGCAAGAACAACAGCAACAACGGGCATATAAACAATCAGATGACCCGCCAGCTACTAAGAATACAGACGTATACTATCATATCAACGACATGGTGGAGCTTCCAAACCCAGAACGGCAGCAGCAGCAGCAGCAAAAAGTTTCCACACCTAGGTTTTCTTCCCAGTTCTCTGTTTCCAACAAACTGGCTCAAGTCGACCAGTTAGTCCCTGCCTACCCGATGGTTTCCCAGGATAACTTCGGTGAAGTAAACCTTGATTTCCTAGATATGGATATCCCACTTCTAAGCAGCCTAGGGAACAGGAATGATCTTGACATTGGATCTGATAACAGTTGGGAAGATGGGGATGCTAATATCCAGAATGCTCTTGGCCCTGCATGGATGGAGGTTATGCTTAACGAGATTCCGAGTGCTATTCCTGCGTAATTATTGTATCCCAGATTTATCCGTTATCTTGGTTATGCCTCTGCTTGCGGGTGATTTCGTAGGGGAGATTTATGAGGTTTGGATGGAGGGGTTGGGGTAGTGATGGAGCGGTCTAAGTCCTGGAATTCTAATTTTCTTCCTGGCAATGGGACATATGATTAAAACAAAAATATGAAAAAATAATAGTGGCTTCGTGGAAGGAATGAATGGGTCGTAATTGATGAGAGTGGCAATAAAGAAGTCTTTTAACTCGAGCTCGCTTCCCAGCTACTGATTCGGGCCATTCTCACGGATGATATCAATCTCTATAGAATTGTCCGTGTCGACGTAGTGAGGTTCTTGTAACATGGTGGCAGCTGTCCCACTTGTTGACAAGAGAATTACCTTGGCAAGTGGATTTCGTCACAATGTTTAGCAAAGGCTTCAGCAAGTCAGAGATAAGGAAGCGTTCCTAGATATGTTTTGGGAGATGGAAAAGGAATTTTTTGAGGCCTGCTACATAATTAAGTGGTGGGTGGGGGTATATTAGCGTAACATGACCAATGTGATTGGGCACGCAAAATACTCATATAAAGTAAGAGCATATCGAGAAACCAACATGAATAAAAAACAGAGTCTATAACATCATCGTCCACGATAAACGAGTAAGGGAGATTTGATATTGCCGAGCGGGGCACATGCAGGCATAATGCTAGATACATGAGAAGGGAAGGAGGATGCTGAATATAGACAGGATTTGGATTAACGCTAGCAAGGGAAGCTGTGGATAACGGTATCTTGAAAATATGAGTATGTTTTGGAATCCAGCGAAACTGGCAAATACTTGGACGTGATGAAATGGGATTACACGCTCGCGTGTCTGGATTAAGGGAAGGCAATGCTTTAATGAATACGACCCAGACGGGCGCTGTTAATATGGATTTGATCATCCACATAATCGCTCTGTTGGTTTGTTAGCTTGCATATACATGGAACAATATGAACATTGTTATCTGGGGCAGAAAGTAACATACCTTCCCCATGATACGGCTCAAGTGTTCATTCTGCTGCTCAACTTCCTTGCCCTGTGCCCGAGCAAGCATATTCAACCTGCCCGTAACACCTTCGATGGCAGTCAGATTCGACTCGATTTCATTTTCCATCTCATCATCTTCACTATCAGCCTCAAACTGGTATTTCGCGCGGTCGGCAAGTCGAGTTTCTTTCTGGGGGGCACTGTTGGCCTTCTTCGCTAACCCCTTAAAAGTTTGGTCCATGCGTTGTTCACTTCTAAAAGCAGCCTTTCGAGTGGCCTCTCGCTGAGCACGCTCTTCCTGATGACGTTCGATGATAGCTTCGTCACGAGCACGTCGACGTTGTTCACCGGTGAATGGATTGGAAACATTCATGGCGAACATGCTTTTGTTTAGCTTTTTTAATTCACGGGATCTTTCGTCCGCGATTTTGTTTTGGTTTGAGGCTAGATCTAAATTCTTTTCTGCATTATGGATTCGTTCTCCTTGAGCTCCAAGACGAATCAGTGTGTTTCGACCTGTCTCTTCTGCTTCTAATGCTGCCCGGAGAGCATTGCGGGTGGATGAGACATCTTGTTGCTTTACCATCCGGATTTCTTGTTTCGTTGCTTGTATATCTTCTTCCTCTTCCTCCTCTGCTGTGAGTTGTCTCTCCTGATAAGTCGGGCCGTATGCAGTATCAGCGTCATTAGCAGCCGCTCCGCTGAACCCATCCTGTGGGACATCCTGGAGAGCGGGGTTGTAACGCCGTTCCTGCATCCGTTCTCGGGCATCTCCTAGAAGAGCGTCTCTATTATCATCGACGGAAGAGAAATCGTTGGGATCGGCCCGCCCAAGTCCTCCGTAGCCTCCAGGACCATATCTAGATTTAGCGACCGGAGCAGAATCATCCCTTCCATACCTATCTCCCCCATATCCGCTTTGATATCCTGGACCTCCAGGTGCATAACCGCCATTAGCTCGACCGTATTTATTATCTAGATTCTCGTAGGGGTTTCTCGGTGCCGGGTTTGCTGGAAGGCCGGGAGGGTTCATCCCCGGATGAGACTGCCTGGGCCCTGAGGGGAGTCCATATCCACCAGCAACAGGACCACGTCCTTGACTATATGGATCGCCAGATGGTGGTGGCTGCGCGTATGGATTTGAGGATGCTGACGATTTGTTCTTGGATTTAGAACCAAAGAGCGCTGAGCGGGTGCTCTCATCGTCTCCACCATCGTTCTTTTTGCTGCCAAAGCCAAACTTCTTCATAATGCAGGTAAGGGAGAGGAGAAGTGAAGAATGAATCGGCTTTTTAGGAATTCTAAGAATCAACAGGAGGGAAAAGCAGAAGATGGTTGTTGGAATTTCAAACACTGTTGAAACCTGAAGCTTAGCTTATCAAGTCAATAACTATCACGTGCTTGTAAATGTGGCAGTGCACTCGTTGATTGGAGGCGCGAGCTAAGCCAGAAACGATTAAAAAGTGGCAACGGCAACGCTAAACCGGAAATGTGCAAGCTTCAAATTCACGTGACCTTGGAACTCAGGCTGAGGCTCAAAGACCTACAACATCCAAACCACCGATCGACTGTTGGGCAGTATAGATATAGTAGCTGTTCGAGCTGCCCGGCACGATGGCACCGGATCCAGGGTCAGAAGCAGAGTATATAAGAGAGAAAGCGCGGAGGGATTTGCTGAATCTTCTTGAAGGCGTGAGTACGGCGCACACCGTTCTAACCAACTGTTTATAAAGATGTGTGCTAATTGAACATGTAGGTTCGAGGCAAAAAGAACCTTGTAATTAGCAAGGACCTGGCTGGACCGGTTGGCTTGTTTGTTAAGTTTTCTGTTCTCCAGGACTATGGAGTCGACCGGGTGTTTCTGCTTGAGAATGGAAATACCGATTCTTCCCAGAAGAATATTGTCTTCCTTGTCCATGCTGAGAAGCCTGCTCAAGTACAATCCACCGCCGGTAAGATATTCTGCTACGTTCTATCTCTTTTATTCTCTTCGTTTCTTTTACCTGTTTCTTTTCCAACTAGTAAATTTATACATGCCCGCTTTGATCTTCCCTTCAGAACAATACGTCATTGCGGCCATCACAGGAGGCTTCGGAGATTTATCTTTTTCACCCTCCATTGTTAGTCTTGTCCCCTATATTGATCTGTTCCGTAGCACATACATCCCTTGGGCTTTAATCGCCTTTTTGCTTTCCCGATGGTTTATGGCCATCAAAATGTACTGACATGCGCCTCAGACCAAATAAGAAAGCTTCAACGGAATGGTACTGTCGAACATGAATTTTCCATCTTTTGGGTCCCTCGCCGTACGCTTGTTTGTAATCAAATTTTAGAAGATGATGGCATTATCGGAGATGCCAATATCGCGGAATTTCCTCTTTATTTTCTACCCTTGGAAAACGACGTCCTTTCCTTGGAGTTAGACAATTCCTTCCCTGATCTCTATCTGGTATGTGAGGTAATTTCCTGTCTCTGATAACCCCCTTAAGCTAATAATTTAACAATATTTTAGCACAAGGACCTAGGCCCGATTTATCTTTCTGCGAAAGCGTTGATGAATCTTCAATTGCGGCATGGTTTCTTCCCTCGCATTATTGGAAAGGGAGACAATGCGAGAAAACTAGCAGATCAGTTACTGCGAATGAGAAAGGAACTCGATGCTGAAGAAACCGCTGGTCTGAACGATGGAACCGGTAGAGGCTTCATGATTAGCTCTACGACGGAAAGTTTGATCATTATAGACCGAGACGTAGATTTCGCAACGGTTCTACTCACTCAGCTGACATACGAAGGCCTCGTTGATGAATTTTTTGAAATCGCACATAATCAAACAGAAGTTGACGCTATGGTCATTGGTCCCTCTGCTCCTACTCCCTCATCTTCCCAAGGAACGTCGTCAGGTACATCGTCCGGGACTCAGAAACAGGGTTTAAAACGAAAAATACAATTGGACTCCTCGGATCAGCTGTTCAGTCAACTCCGTAATGCAAATTTTGCTATAGTTGGAGGTCTATTAAACAAAGTCGCTCGTCGATTAGAGAGCGACTATGAAAGTCGCCATGGCGCCAAGTCAACTTCTGAACTCCGAGAATTTGTCAATAAACTACCAGCATACCAGGCGGAACACACCAGTCTTAAAGTCCACACAAACCTCGCTGAAGAGATTATGCGGCAAACCCGTTCTGACATTTTCAGAAAAACCCTCGAGATTCAACAAAATATAGCAGCAGGGACAGATCCAATATACCAACACGATAGTATCGAGGAACTCATCGCCCGGCATGTTCCCATACATACTATTCTCCGACTACTCTGTCTCGAGTCCTGCATGTCTGGTGGCCTTCGACCGAAGGATCTGGAAAATTTCAAGAAGCTGATATTGCAGGCATATGGCTACCAACATCTCCTAACCCTCCACGCCCTTGAGAAAATGGAGCTCTTGCAGGCGCGGTCTTCTGCGACCGCTATGTTACTCTCGACTGGAGGTGGCCCAGCAGGCTTGAAAACCAATTATAGCTATCTTCGCAAAAGTCTACGACTTATCGTTGATGAAGTGAACGAACAAAATCCGGACGACATCGCATACGTATATAGTGGCTATGCCCCATTGAGCGTTCGCCTCGTCCAATGCATATTGCAGAAACCATATATCCTATCTCTCACAAAAGGCACTCCCGCCCCCGCTGCAGGAGCATCGACCAGTATTTCGTCCCCTGCGTGGCTAGGGTTCGAAGATGTTGTAAAAAGTGCGCGAGGTTCCACGTTCAATATCGTCCAAAAGGCCGATGAGAAGGCAGCGAGGGCGCGACAAACGCTCTCAGGGACGGGAGGTGTTAAGACGGTTATCATATTTTTTCTTGGCGGGATTACGTTTACGGAGATTGCTGCGTTGCGGTTTATTGCGGGCAAGGAATCAGCTCGACGACGGATTGTTATTTGTACGACTGGGATTATAAGCGGGAATCGGATGGTTAAAGCCGCGATTGAAACAAATGGGTTTGTTAAGTCTACTAAATAATAATATACCCAATGTTTATTATCAGTTTTCGTGCCACGGTGCAGAGCATTGTTCTGCATTTTGCCTTCTTGTAATCGACAGAAAGCATGGAGTTAACGAAGTATAGCTATCTTTCTGAGAGATGAATTTGAGTTAGATACTAGGTGTCGCAGCACAGAACCTTGTTTTTGGAAGTCACAATCGCCATACCTTGCTTATGATTAGACAATACATAGTTACACGAACAAATTTTCGCCAACCTAGTTACGCTACATCTATATATCCTTCAGTATTCAAATCCAAGATTCGTCCCCAGTAATCGACCCTGATACCTCTCTGTAACTACCCCAAGTTTGACCATGATGCCGGCAGCCAGTATCCTAACCTCCTCATCTTCTTTCGAGGCACGTTCAAACACACCGTCAACCCATTCACGCATTTCCATCACCTCCGTCACAAATTCGGTAACTAGTCTCCCCTCCCCAATACTGCCGGCAGACATATTTAAGTCTACCACCGCGAGAAACAGGGATAGGATTGTTGGTAGCACTGTTGGTTCAGTTGCAACCGGTAGATTGTGTAGAGCCATGAGTAGAGCGAGAGCTTCATTGGTAAGGGTGGCCAGGTTCAGAGCATTGGGTCCAAGAGTTGAGAGAATGAGAGTTACAGTTTGAATGAAGAGATGAAGAAGTTGGGGTATTAGGAATGGGTTATGCACGCTGCTGGAACTGGAGGGGTTGGAGGTTAGTATTGAACATCATACGTGAATATATCTGTTGATGGGGGGATTTAACTAAAGGGGCTTTGTAGTAAACTTTTGACTTACGAAGTGGAATACATTGTTGATCCGAAGGCACTGGTAAGCGGAAAATAGAAACCATTGGAAAGGATTTTATGTAGATTTCCAGGTATGCCCTTTTGTCGTCTTTGCTGCTCTTTCATCTGCCTCTTCTTCTCCACTTCAATGCGTGATGAGAACGTTCTGACTTTCAAGGCGTTCGGACCTGTCAATGAGTCTGCGGCATGAAGAGCTAAAGGTTGCAAGGTAGCTTGCGAAAGTTTTTTTGATAGAGCACCAATCGGGTTGGTTCCATTGCTATAGATGGCCTCAAGACTCGAAGGAAGCCGCTTCGATGGGAAGGAAGAGTCCGCAACGGCAGAGAGCCCCATGGATTCTGCGTCTTCTGTCCCAAACCCTGCTAGTTCGCGGGCACTGAGGCCAAGTGCAACGAGGATTGTTGATCGCTGGCTTTGAGATAGGTCGGCATTGAAAAGGGTATACACGAACCACGGGCCCATTGTGAGTGGGTAAGCTACCAACAATGCAATTTCGCTTTGTAATTTGTACTCCTGAAACTTTGGCAAATTGTATTTGTCCTGAAGACTCGTAATAGTAAGAGCGAGTGCCTTAGAGTTCTCCGCAACTTCCGTACCAAAGGACGCTTTGCGTCGTATAAGAATCGGCGCAGTAGAGATTCCCAGGTTATAACGCTCAGCATTGTCTGTGTCGCGCAGGCAAGCTAATAAATCTCGTATATATCTGCATTTCGTATCAGCTATCAGAAGTCACCAGGTTCAATAAAAGCGGAAGTATGGTATGATGGAAGCATACACAGGAGCATTAGGTTTCGATCGGTTGATCAGTGTTGGATCGTCTTCAGAATCCGAAGGATCCGTATCTGGCTTTTCGTAAGGGAGGAAGTCATCGTCTCCTGATTCCTCGGATATCTCCTCAATAGAAAGATTTTTTGAGGTTGCTTGACTTGGTACCTGCTGCTTATTCGTATGAACCTTTGATACATGTCGTTTTGGAATTTTAGGAGCCGGTTGAGGGTCTCTGTGTTTTAGGTCATCGATAGAACCGATTCCATCTTCTACATTCGGTAGGCTCATATACCACTTTGCTTCTTCGCCTTCCATCTCTTCAATATCGAATTTCATTTCCTTTCCTGGGGGATCGACGAGCTTCGATAGTGACATGGCAACGACCATCCCGAGGAAGCGTGCTCGTGGCGAAGAGGCTGCGATACGATTGGAGATCGCGTTTAGGTATGTCCCTGATTGTGTGATGGGCCGGAGAAGATCTGTGCTGAGCCGACAGACATATCCGGCTGCTAAAAGGATGACCTGCGTATTGGCTGAAGGTTGTGAGTTTCAAGACTAAAAAATATACCTCTCTCTCACATAATGAAGGTATTTACCTTCCTGTCCACTCGTTGGTGTATGTTTAATGTAAAGCTTATCGCCGAATATCTCTAGAGCCTTTCCCAATATCTCCAGTAGAGGCTCTAATAACAGCGGTTAGTGCCCAAAATGCAGTGTCCCTAACGACTTTGAGCGCTCACCTTGTTGGTTTCCATATGACGCCAAGAGCGCACGGCGAAAGTCGATCCCTCTAATATTCACCTCTAACCCCGATGCAAGCCATTCGTTCAACTGGGCTCTTAGGAATTCACGGTCACGGACCATCAACTCTACAAGGGCTGCGATCCCACTGATGAGCTTTTGTTTATCGGGATCGTCCAATGGACTTTCTGCCTCACTCGGAAATGGGCGGAGATAACTCTTTTCCAGGTCATGTAATACCGACTTGAAAACTAATATTAGGTGATGGCTTCGCATATTATCTAAAAGGATACCAAACCGATCTGACAAGGCATCCCCGTGAAGAAGCAAGCCATCATATAGCTCGTGCACAAGCTGGTCTATTGCAAAAACTCTTAGTAGGGTCACTTGGTTTGTTTGGGTGGTGAAGGGGGGTTTAAAATACCTGTATAGCCGAGACTCAATGCCCTGGTTGTAAACTGAGCCAGATAACTCCAGGCGTCTGAATCCGTTATTTGGATGTTGGAGGTCATATGACAAATACATCGCCCGAGCCACATAGAATACGAGCTGCCCTCTCCAATCCAGTGTATCGAACGAGGTGTCTTCAGGTCTTTAATGGCTCGAAAGCCTTCAGAAGCAATTGATAACACCTTGCCGGCAGCGAGTAGTGAAATGAGTTCCTTCCACAGGATCTGCTTTTGGGTTGGTGATTTAATGGTTTTCAAAATGCTCACGTAGATCTCAAATACCAAATCAAGGGGCTTTAAAACGGATGACAAGACCGTTATAAGGTCTTTGACAGCCAGGTCATAACATGAGCTCTTATCGCCTTGGGTGTAATTCTGTTTGGCAAGCAACGAGCGCAGCTGCGCAACAAGAACGCCGATTCCAGCCACACTGCTCAAACATCTAAGCAATGCAGCTTTTGGATTAATTTTGCAGACCCCTTCCGGGAGTGTCTCCGTATCATTCTGACTCCCTAAGCTACTCCAGTGGTCGGGAATAGTTATCGTGACCAGAGAGTGCAGAATTTGAGCTGCTACTGGACTTGGAGTAGTAATATTGAAACCATCTGCATTTGTTCGAATAGGATCAAGGAAGTTCAAGACTTGAACAACACGGTCCTTCTCTGGAGACGATCTGAGAACTTGCAGCACTTCTTCCGGAGAAGTTATCTCGCTTTTCCGTGACAAGTCCTCTGCATCTTTGGCCGGCGACAAAGTCTCCACGTACTTCGGAGACGAGGAAACCGCAAGCTCCTCGCGGTTCTCAACCGCCTTCACACTGAGAAGGTCATCCATGCCCTCTGCATCACCTTACCAACATGGCGTGAAAATGCATTAAAATAATAGGGGGGAGTCTCCTTTTTTCTGCGCTGACATGGAGATCGCATGTAACTACGTCATGTGATTTGCCAAGGCACCACCACCTGGACTCGAACACCGCCCAGAGGATGATGTCGTAGCTATTTATGCGACAAATACCAACAACGACAACAACAACAGAGGCACCCTTGATATGTTTTCTCGAGGTCAAGGAGTTCTCAGTCTTCATCTTGAGACTCTCTTTGCTGTGTTTTCAAAGTGTAGAATCTTAGCAGTCTACACAGCATTTTCTCAGTCAGATACTTAAACTTCATCTTTGCCTATCGACCTAGGGATACGCGCTTCCCTGGACATTGGCGGAAGTGGGGGAGATAAAATAATACAGCTGTACTCAAGTTAATATTGGTGATACCTCTCTGGAATTACATATATATTTATACTGCGGACATTCGATATCCCATTTCTTTATGTCCACTTCTGTAATGCCTCTCAACCGGGAGGCTCAGCGATGGTTATTGCCCCAAAGTCACATTGTGATATATATCTCATAACTGATAGGCATCTAGGAAGTACCTATATAGAATTCTCACCCGTGCGGGCCCCTTCAGCGATGAGGATTGGGTTCCCGGACCAGAAACTATTACGGGGCTTGAAAGTTCTAAAATTCTGTAAGTTTTATCTTGCAATCCGCTCAGACGACTTCCAATTGTTGAATGATCACTAATTTTATTTAGGGTGATGTAAGTAATCGTCATGTCTTATTTCGGCTGGCGATGCTATGCTGACACCCTCCCAGAGGAGCTGGAGGTTTAGGATGTGAAATCTTGAAGAACTTGGCACTATCAGGATTTAAAGACATCCATGTTATAGATATGGGTATGTTCCATCCACCTCAGCAACCCCACGGTAGTAACCGTTTTCAGATACCATCGACATATCAAATTTGAACCGGCAGTTTTTATTCCGGCAGGAAGATGTGGGAAAGCCCAAGGCTGAAGTCGCTGCAACTTTTGTGGAGCGAAGGGTGAAAGGAGTCAAGATTACTCCTTACGTTGGGAGGATTCAAGACAAGGATCACGATTATTACATGCAATTTAGAATGGTTGTATGTGGGCTCGACAGCGTCGAGGCGCGACGCTGGATAAATTCGACTCTAGCTGAAATGGTAGATATATCAAACCTGGAAAGTTTAAAACCCCTGATTGATGGTGGAACAGAAGGTATGTTTGTTTCGGAAACCCTTTCTCTCCTCGATGAAGATATATCCTTTTGGGACTTTATGGGGCTTAAAAACGTAAAACGGTAAATAGGGTTCAAGGGACAGGTCCGGGTTATCGTTCCCAGACTATCTTCATGTATCGAGTGCCAAATCGACATGCATGCACCCCGCGCTGCAGTGCCATTGTGCACAATTGCATCGATCCCTCGACAGCCACAGCACTGTATTGAGTGGGCACATCAAATTGCATGGGGAGAACAGCGACAGGGCGAAGAATTCGACGGCGACGACATGGAACATGTTACATGGATTTATAACACGGCATTGGAACGGGCGGAAAAGTTCAATATCCCCGGAGTGACATTCTCGATGGTCCAAGGCGTTGTAAAAAACATCATCCCTGCAATCGCATCCACAAATGCCGTGATTGCCGCCGCTTGCACCTCGGAAGCGCTAAAGATTGTAACAACTTGCAATCCCTATTTAGACAACTATATGATGTACGCTGGAGAGGAAGGGGTTTATACATACACATTTACTGCAGAGCAGAAAAAAGATTGCTTTGTGTGCGGCAGTTCAGCCAAACCGATCATCGTAGATCCGGAATCGACTTTGGAGGAGTTTATTATGTCTCTAGGGGAACTACCGGAAGCCCAGCTGAAATCTCCTAGCTTGAGATCAGCGGCAATGATGCTTTATCAGCGTGCTCCACGACAACTGGAAGAGTATACAAGGCCCAATTTGACGCGAAAATTGAAAGAACTTGTTAGCGATGGAGATGAGGTCGCTGTAAGCGACCCTGCTTACACAATTGATTTCCGATTCCGAATGACCTTTAAATGATCTGCTTAAAGGCAAGGACTAGGCAATATTACAACTTTTACTTTTTATGGTATCTACGTTAATATCGTCGAACTTACAATGAAAAACAGTGGAGCGAGATGGACATTTATATAGATTATAACTTTTTTTATCGCATAAAATCAAGGACCTATTTCAGACGCCTTTTGTTCACCTGTTTAACCACCATCGAAATAAAGCGTCAAAGATACACATGACTCTTAACGCCAGAAAATGCTTTCCAAGAAGAGCAATAAGAAGAAAATCAGAAATGTTTTCGACAATCAAGAAACTTCTAGCGTCTCAACAATCTTAGCTAGATCCCGTTTCAATTTCCTACATTTGAGCTTCAGAACCTTCACACTTTCCAGGAATAATACGTCGCTCCTGAATTGTCCCGTGCTCTCAACATTGAAGATGAAGTGATCACGTATCCGGCCCAGCTTAACTTTACCCTGGAATTCCTCGTGTCTCAAACATTCCCTGCTCACAGTATCCTTGAAAGGATCAAGAACAACAGCCTTCTTCGCGCCTTCGTGGCCTTCGTACCCGCTTCCACGCTGTGACGCCTCTTCCGCAGTTACAGTCTCAATTCCGATGACACCTTCAGGGAAACAGCCTGCAAACTTCACAGCATCCATTCCCAGGATGGGTCGAAGAATGCGGATATCGGGAAGGAGACGATATGAAGCCGTCGCCACGGGGGAGAATTTAGCATGGTCAGCTCCAATGCCCTTGACACAATGCATTTCAATATCGATCTTTTGACCAGGTCGCAATTTCGCTAGAAGAATGTCCGGGTTCGTAGGTCGGATGCCACCATCAGGTTCTGGGAAATATGCCTCCTGCCGGCCTACGGGCTGGAATGTGATGTCTTTAGCATAGACGTGGGCGTGGCTGTAAAGCTTTAGTGGATCCAGCTCATTTGGGCTCGCTTTCGGATTTTTCTTGCATTCTACGTTGAGATGGAGAACGATGGTGTTGTAATCTGCGAGCTCGCTGCCGGAGGACGGGTCGCCCTCATTTGGCTGTCTGAACCAGCGCAGCCAATTGATGCCCTCGGGGGATCCGGTTAGGGGGACTAAACCGAGGCGATGGGCGAGGACTTCATCTTGGATGACGGAGGTGTTGTTATGTATGTAGACTGTTTCAATGGCAAGGGAAGGAATCTCAGCTATAAGAATGCGACGGAAGGCGTTTGCTATTGATGCATCGACGCCGATTAAGGAGAAAGAAGCTTCGTAGGGTTCATTTTTGTGAAAGGTGACGATGAGGTTCTAACCGGGAAAAAAGGACAATGTCCGTTAGTAAGACGGGATATGCGAAGGGCATTCTTCTTCTTATTTTCTCTCACATTTCTAAATTTCTCAATAGACCACTCGTGATTTTCGCCAGGCCAATGACCGGGGAAATCTGTTGAAGTGATATTTGTAACTGTTTCTCGGTTGATGCCAACGATCTGTACCAAGTTAGCTTTATCACCGGCAAACTTAGCAGAAAAATATATGAGAAAATAAACGGAAAAAGCTTTACCTTTCTATCGCTAATCTCTTCTAGAGAAGCTATTCTAGGCGCCATGACTGCGCTCTATATCTGGGTGTAGTTTTGTAGTTTTGCGCTGAGGGGCGATGATATTTACTTGATTTTTTGCCTTTTGCGCAAGTGACAATAAATTTTGATTGGTTTTGGGGGTTCGTCATTGTCCACGGTACCTCCTCCCTGCCTGTATTTTGGTACGAATTTACGTACTCCGCCAAAGCTCCAGCAGAACACGCTTTGTCATCTACCTGCAGCCAATCACCAGCCGAGGGTTTCTTGCTGATCAAACTCCCACGTGACATCACCAAACACCGAATTGTATTTGCTGAACGAACGACATCAACGAGAAGAACAACGACATCCCCGACAGACAGGAAGCTGCTATACTCAATTGACCAAGAGCTTCTGCTTGCGGGAGCCCTCCCTCTCATATACCGTGTCAAGGTCGAGACACCAAACTCTTAGAGTGTGTCTCTACATAACCCATCCAGCGGCCATGGCGTCCTCCTTCACACTCCTGGCTCGCCATGCGCCGAAAAAGCTATGTTTCGGCCCCTCGTCTTCCTCCGCACTCAGAGCCTCCTCAATTGCTGGGCTAAGGTCGATATCTACCTCGCCTGCTCTCAATGCTACCCCCTCCTACCGCCCCACGCGGCTCATCCCCACGGATCCAGACTTCGCACCGGGCGGCCCGAAACATCAGCCCATCAAACCTCCCGGGTCATATGCGGAGCCCTCCGCTCTCGAATCCGAAGTTGGCCATGGTCGTAAGATCCGTCATTACACAGTCAACTTCGGTCCTCAACATCCGGCTGCTCACGGTGTGCTGCGGTTGATCCTGGAGCTCAATGGAGAGGAGATCGTTCGTGCAGATCCGCATGTGGGCTTGCTGCATCGCGGCACGGAAAAGTTGATTGAATATAAAACCTACATGCAAGCATTACCATATTTCGATCGGTTGGACTATGTTTCGATGATGACGAATGAGCAATGCTTTTCGTTGGCGGTGGAGAAACTGTTGAACATAGAGATTCCGGAACGGGCAAAATGGATCAGAACGATGTTTGCGGAAATCACTAGAATTTTGAACCATCTCATGTCGGTATTATCGCACGCCATGGATGTTGGTGCATTGACTCCCTTCTTGTGGGGTTTCGAGGAGCGTGAGAAATTAATGGTATGCTTATATAAATATTCTCCCTAAAAGATTGGCTTCACAGGATGTTCTAATCCCTCTCTCACTCTTACAGGAATTCTACGAACGTGTTTCTGGAGCCCGTCTACATGCAGCATACATCAGACCAGGTGGTGTCCATCAAGACATCCCCCTTGGCCTTTTAGACGATATCTACCAATGGGCGACTCAATTCGGCGACCGCATCGACGAAACTGAAGAACTGCTCACTGAGAATCGTATCTGGAAAGCTCGAACCCAGGGAATCGGCGTCGTTTCCGCCGCAGAGGCTCTCAATTACAGCTTTAGCGGAGTCATGCTCCGTGGCTCCGGAGTTCCATGGGATGTCCGCAAATCCCAACCCTACGACGCCTACGACCAGGTTGAATTCGACGTGCCTGTGGGTGTCAATGGAGACTGTTATGACCGCTATCTGTGTCGCATGGAGGAATTTCGCCAATCACTTCGCATTATCCATCAGTGCTTGAACAAGATGCCTGCTGGTCCCGTTCGCGTGGAGGATTACAAGATCTCCCCACCGCCCCGCGCTGCCATGAAGGAGAACATGGAGGCTCTTATCCATCATTTCCTGCTTTTCACGAAGGGATATGCGGTTCCTCCTGGGGAAACATACTCTGCAATTGAGGCACCCAAGGGTGAAATGGGTGTTTTCCTTGTCAGTGACGGTAGCGAGCGACCATACCGATGCAAGATCCGTGCTCCGGGTTTTGCCCATTTGAGCTGTTTCGATCAGATCTCTAGAGGACACCTGCTTGCTGATGCTGTTGCAATTATTGGTATGTTCCTCACTCTTCCCTATACTAGCTTTATATTATTCCTTTTCAACATCAAAACTACGTTTGCCCTCTTTACTTCTCATCCTATACTAATACTTTTTACGCGCATGCAGGAACCATGGACCTCGTGTTCGGTGAAGTAGACAGATAATGCGCAAAGCAAATACAAATATTAAGGCATGTTTTTAAAATCCGCCGTTTCGATTTCATTGAGTAGCTTAAGGGATATGGGGAAAATCAAATACTGGAACCAATTTCCTTTCGTCTTTTTTTTTTTTTTTTCCTTTCTTTTAAAAACCACTCTAAGGCTCACCACAACCTCTCCGTGTAAAAGCATCTATCCCTCCTACAGGTTCATATAGGAAGCTATATATATGCCAGCTACAAAATCTCCGCCCATCCAGTCTCCTTCTCTCGTCAACACCGTCGGTGCTTGTTGCTTTCCTCTCCCTCAATTTGCATATAAATTTCGATTTCTTTCTTTGCTGTACTCTATCCTCTTTCTCCTTTTCTTTCTTTTCCTTTCCCCCCATCCCCCCCCCCCCCCCCTTTTGTCTATGTGTCTCCTTTATTCCCTCTCAATCAAATGTCTGCAGTAAATATGTAATGACAATAAATTTGCAGAAAACATTAATTAGATGATGAAATGAAACACAATAATACAGCGGGATATTTTTCTGTCGGTCGACTTGCTTCAGAGCCTGGAGGGAGGAGTGCGATGGTTGGCGATCTAGTGTACTCCGTATCAAGTGACACCTAATCAGTCTGGGAAGTGTCGATAGGTCTTCTAGCATTGAATGCCACTGCCACTGCCACTGCTTCCTGTTGGAATGCATTGGGTCCCGATCTTCAATGGACTGGGGATTCTGGGTGGAGGTGGCGTCCGGGGAAGCAAAGGAGATAAGGGGGGAACAGTAAAAGCCACCCCCATCATCCACAACAATCCTTGATTTTCTCAGCAGAGGGAAAACGTGAGCGGAGAAAAGAAAAACGTTTTATATGTATATATGTATGTATGTGCCATGTATATATGTATAGAATATGGAAAATGCTTTCCCTTATAAGAACCTCTACTTCGTAAACCATATCAAATCATAAAACACAATGCATGCAAGCAGAACGAAGTGAGCAGCAGAACGGATAAAAGTCCAAGTGAAGAGAAATGATGAGAATGAATAATGAAGACCATGGAAATGATGCGCAACAGACCCCCGGAAAAAGGGAACGAAAACAGGAGGAACACAATAAGGTCTCCTCGGACATATAATAGAAGATCGCTCCCGTCATCTCCTCATACCCATTTTCTCCTCCCCCCTCCCCCCCCTCTTCTCTGTCTTTAAGACCGTACGTCTAAACCCCCCCCACTATACCGTCGAATCATCATAAAAAAACCGAATATCCCTCGGCCGCTGCCTATTCATCGCCACAAACTCCGCATCGCCAGGGGGTCTCTCATTCTTCGTATTGCCGGCCAACATGCTCTGGATGCTCAT